CCCCCTTTTTTTTTTTTTTTTTGAGTTGGAGTGTCACTGCCACCTAGGCTGTGGCACTCTCACAGCCACCACAGCCTCGACCTGCTGGGCTCAGGCTGTCCTTCTGCCTCAGCCTTCCAAGTAGCTGGAACTGCAAGCATGCACTACCACACCCAGCTTATTTTTTTATTTATTGTAGACAGGAGGTCTCGCCATGTTGCCCAAACTGATCTGAAACCAGCGGTCTCAGACTGGTCCTCTCGCTTCCAAGCCCAAAGTTGCTGAGATTTCAGGTATAAGCCACTGTGCCCAGCATCCCACCAGCTTTTTAAAAAATGTTTTCTGCTCTTGCTCTTAGGGAAAGTTCTGGTGTTTTAGAAAAAAGCAAGTCTTTTACACGATCAGTTGGTACCAGTCACAGTGTTAAATGTTTCTTTATTTTTGCTTCTACCTTTTAGTCTGTTTTTATAAGACCTGCCCGTTTTGGAGCCTTCCCTTTTGGATAGTATGTGACCTTATGAAATTTGAGCTGCTTTGTAACATATATCAAAACTGTCTTTGATCTAATTTAAGCAGGCATTTAAAAGTTTTCCCATTGTATGGCCAGGTACGATGGCTCACACCTGTAATTCCAGCACTTTGGGAGGTTGGGCAGTAGAATCACTTGAAAACAGGAGTTTGGTTTTTTTTTTTTTTTTCTCTTTTAATTTTTATTTTAAAATTGTGGGTTACAATTCAGGGTTAGGTATACAAATAATCTTTGTGCACGAAACAGTTTTAAAATAGCAAGAACCCATCTCTACCAAAATACAAATAAGTAAAATAAAATAAAAGCTTTCCCATTATAATACTAGCTTTGAGTTAGAAAGGTATCTGTTAACAGATTCAGGAAAAAGTAATATATTCAGAAACATAACATTTGTGCATTAGTTTTCAATGAATATGTGGTTATGTGTATGTTTTCATTGTTTCACTTTTAATAATCTCTTGCCTTTGGCACATTTTATTTTTCAAAAATTCTTAAGTCCTTCAGGTTCCTGATACGATGTAGGTTTTTCCTATGTTTCCATTAGAATGATAACTTTAAGCCAGGCTCGGTGGCTCAGCCTGTAGTCCCGCGCCTTTGGGAAGCTGAGGTGAGTGGATTGCCTGAGCCCGCGGGTTCGAGACCCGCCTGGGCAGCGAGACCTCATCTCTACAATAAATCAAAACAATTAGCCGGGCGTGGTAGCGTGTGCCTGTAATTCCGCTACTTGGAAGGCTGAGGCGGAGGATCGCCAGAGCCCAGCAGGTCAAGGCTGTGGTGGCCGGGAGCGGCCACTGCACTCCAGTCTGAGCGACAGTGAGACTCCAACTCAAAAAAAAAAAAAGAATGATAACTTTAAAAATCATGCAGGGAGCCGGGCTCGGTGGCTCAGCCTATAATCCCGCGCCTTTGGGAGGCTGAGGTGAGTGGATTGCCTGAGCCCATGGGTTCGAGACCCGCCTGGGCAGCAAGACCTCATCTCTACAATAAATAAAAAAATCAGCCGGGTATGGTAGCGCATGCCTGTAATTCCAGCTACTTAGAAGGCGGAAGGATCGCCGGAGCCCAGCAGGTCGAGGCTGCGGTGGCCAGAAGCAGCCACTGCACTCCAGTCTGGGCGACAGAGTGAGACTCCAACTTAAAAAAAAAAAAAAAAAAATGCAGGGATAGCATAGAAGACACTTCTAGTTTGGGAATATGTAGGTGTGGCCAGGATTTTGGTGAGGAGGGGTGATTTAGCACAAATGTATTGTCTTCTTTACCCTATCTGTAAAATGGGGATAATAATAGAACTGACAAGATTGGAATTACTGTTACATGGTTAATACATGTAAGTGCTTAGAATGATGCCAAGTGTTTGGGAAATACTCTAGGTGGTGATGTTAGTGTTTGCAATACTATTATTAAAATGTCATTTCAGGAGAATTTTAAATTAATACGTTACCATGTTGATATACAGAAATAAAGCATCTAGACTGTTTTGTCTTGCTTTCAAGACCCTCCTAAAAAGTCATATCAACCTCTCCAACCTTGTTTTTTACTGCTTCCCTTCAAGTATCATATGCTGCAGTTACATTAAACTATCATGGCTCCCCTGTACAAGCCCTGTGTTTTCCCTATTTGTTTCTATTTGTTCTGTCCTTACAATCTTGAGTGTTGCCCTGTCTCCACGTGTTCAGATACTACCTTTTAAGTAAAAATTTTTTGATAGCTCTATATGTATAACTATAAGTATTCTCTCCATATGAATTCCATGTATTTCCTCTTGTCCAGGCTGGAGTGCAGTGACATAACTGCCATCGCAGCCTCAACCTGCTAGGCTCAGGTGATCCTTCTGTCTAAGACTTCCAAATAGCCAGAACCACAGGCACATGCTACCACACCTGGCTAATTTTTTTATTTATTGTAGAAATGAAGTCTCACCAAGTTGCCCAGTCTGTTTTGGAGCCCCTGGACTCGGGCAGTCCTCTTGCTTCTACCTCCCAGGATGCTGGGACTACAGGCGTGAGCCACTGCACCCGACCCATATATTTCCTCTTAAATAATTCCTGCCACTTTCTGTATTACACTTTAGCTTCTTATTTACTTATGTGTCCTTCACTTTGTTATGAAATCTTTATAGGCAGAGAACTGTACCTTACGTACCTTTGTAGGTTTAGAACCCTTCACAAGCCTTAGCAATTAATAGGTACTCCTTTGTAGAATGAATGTTTATAAAAGATACAGCAAGCTAATACCTGAGACCAGCCTAGGCAACATAGTAAAAAAAAGTAAAATACTAACCGGATGCTGTAGTGCACACCTGTATTCCCAGCTCCTTGGGAGACTGAGGGGGGAGAGTCACTTGAGCCCAGAAATTCAAGGTTACAGTGAGCTATGAGCTGGTCACTGCACTGCAGCCTGGGTGACAGAGTGAGACTCTGTATCTTAAAATAATAGTATATATGCATAATATGTACACATACATATATATCAGGCTCATAGTAGACATTTATAGAGTGAAATGGGCAATTGTGTACTCTCAGCTCAAAAATTCTCAGAATGTTTATCATAATTCAACACAATGTTAGATTGAATGAGCATCTGATATAGAAACACTGGATTTGAAAACCAGATGTTACATGTTCTAATCATAAGCCTATTATTCATTAGCTGTGATATATCACAGGTGTCCTGGAATATGTCACTGCATTAAATTTTGCTTTTAGAGAATGAGAGTCATGGGGCTAGGTATCTATAGCTCTTCATTTTTCCGGGTTGCAATCCAGCACCATATTTTTAAAATAGAAATTCTAAGTGTCTATCCCTGAAAGGTTAACTGTTATTTAACTACCCCTGAAAATCAGAAATATGAGACATTTACTAGATAATTTTAGCATGTAAGGAGGTTGCTGACATTCCTAGGATCAAATTCTGACAGCAGTTTTAGTGTCCCACTTGCCTCACTGTTTTATTTAACAAGAGTTCTAATTAGTTTCCTTGGCTGGTAAAACAAGTAATTCAAATAATAGCTAAGTAAGATCACTGGTTAATTTCATTATAGTGACTTTTCTATTTTGTATGTGTACATGTGCTGCACACACAAAAGTACTATAGTACTGTATTTTTCTTCTGTAGTTTATTTGTTTAAAAATTCTGATGTGGGCCGGGCTCAGTGGCTCGGCCTGTAATCCCGACACTTTGGGAGGCCGAGGCGAGTGGATTGCCTGAGCCCACGGGTTCAAGACCCATCTGGGCAACTTGGCGAGACCTTGTCTCTGCAATAAATAAAAAATTAACCAGGTGTGGTACTGTGCGCTTGTAGTTCTGGCTACTTGGATGGCTGAGGCGGAAGGATCGCCGGAGCCCAGCAGGGCGAGGCTGCGGTGGCTGGAGCATGCCATTGCACTCCAGTCTGGGCGACAGAGTGAGGCTCCAACTCAAAAAAAAAAAATTGATGTGACCCACAAAAGTGGTTTCATGGCTCACTATGGGTCCACCTGCTTTTTGTGGGGGGAGTGGGAAATGGACTAGGTAATAATGCTTTAAATTTGTTTGATACTTTGATGTTTTCTGAGTGCTTAGATACACAGTACAACTACACCCTTAAGTGTAGCAGCTTAAAAATTAAAATACAAAAATGCTGTTACTTGAAAAAACCTCTAGTTGTTTCAACAGCAGTGTGTTGGAGAGGTCAGAAGAACTCATAGGAGAGAGATTTATTTATTTTTCCTGTTTAGTAACAGTGTTACTGAGTCTTCCAATTCTAACAGCCCAGTTAGGGAGTTATAATTATTTATATTTAGAATTACTTTTAAATCCTATGACAAGCAAAAAAAAAATTTCCCCAATTGGTTCACTCAAACCAAACCAGAATTCTTATTGTTTCTAAAAAAAAGTCTTTGTGTTTCTTAGTCTTGATATATAATCATAAAGCTACTTCCAGTGTTTGTATCATTTTGGTGGCTTAGGTCTTGATCAGATAGGGGAGGGAGGATTTTTATATGAAGAAGCATAACAAAAAGAAAAGCCAT